CTCTTGGTCAACTTACTGTTCACTCTCTAGCTCACTCTATTGTTCACTCTACAGTTCAATCTACTGTTCACTCTACTGCTCACTCTACTGTTCACTCTATTGGTCAACTTACTGCTCACTCTACTGTTTATATTACTGTTCACTGTACTGTTTAATTTGCTATTCACTCTACTGCCCACTCTACCTTTCCCCTTGATTTTCCCTTTACTGAACACTCTACTGCTCACCTCACTTTTCACTCTGCTGCTCCCCCTACTGTTCACTTATAGGCATTTAAGTCAAAACTTTATCATTTATCACAGCCACGTCTACAGAGGTGAGCAATCTGTTGTTCCTCTGAAACAGTGCTTCCCAAACTCCTTACAGTCCTGCCCCCCTTTAGGCAGCTCCATAGTGCCATGATTCATGTGTAAGATATTTAGCCTTATGAAATCAGTCCGCCTTAAAAGCTCAAACATGTTTATCATGCAGTGACACTTCACACCAGATATACTGAATAATAATGAATAAATAATGTTATTCACAAGTGCACAGTGGTGTATATGAGGGCACACACGCATGTGTGAGACAGTTTATGGCTGTAAAATAAACAGTGAAGAACAAAATGTTCAATAACAAGTCACAGATCACATCCAGCACAGTGACATCACCCGTTTATTTAGCCAACAGTCACCCTAAATAACCACCCCAGCCTCTACGTTAATGTCTTAAAACATAGACCTTCACTGTTGCACCGGCTGTGCATTTTTTAGATGCTCCCTTAAGGAGTATGAAGAGAATATATTTGGTTGAGGTTTGTCCTCTGTGTTCTCAGACATGAGAACATGTAGGTGTGGTCAATTTGCCTTGTTTATTTCATTGCAAATTGAAGAGAAAAGGCTGAAAAGGCTGAATATCCAACAGCTCTAACCAGCGCTAACACCAAGTTTTTACACCCCTGGGGGGTACGCATACCACAGTTTGGGGACCACCGCTCTGAAATATGGTGCTACATTTAACATTTTACAATTTACTGCAGCAGCCAAAGAGGGAGTGAATATCATAGATACAGACTGTAGATTTCACTACACTGCAAAAAAAATGCTGTGAAAGTAAAATGATCTTAAATCTGGTCGATATATCTAATATTTGCCATTTTGAGATGGTTGTGCACTTATTATAAGATTATCTAGCTTATTTCTGGACATTATTTGGTTGTTTTGAGTAATTTTATTTATTATTATATGAAAAAGGATCTCACTATACTGGCAGATAATTTTGCTGGTTTCAAGCTCATTCTACATTCTCCTGTGGATTTGAAGTAAAATAATGTGTCTGATGTAAAGTGACTGTGTGCAGATGATGAAAGTAAAGGTGTCTGGTGATGTAGAGTCTGAGTGTTCAGGTGTTAATACTAACACCTCTCAGCAATGTGTGAACCCCCCTGGTATTCGGGGGTCTCGTGTTGTCTGTCTGCTAACTCTCTCTCCATAGAGGCGCTGATGCTTCAGTGTCAGTAAATGTCTGTTTTATCAGCTGTTCTTCTGTAGAGTCTCTGTTCTAGTGCGGTTCTGCGCTCTTCCTCACAGTAACTGAGATCTTCCTCGTCTCCTCTTCTGTAGAGTCTCTGTTCTAGTGCGGTTCTGCGCTCTTCCTCACAGTAACTGAGATCTTCCTCGTCTCCTCTTCTGTAGAGTCTCTGTTCTAGTGCGGTTCTGCGCTCTTCCTCACAGTAACTGAGATCTTCCTCGTCTCCTCTTCTGTAGAGTCTCTGTTCTAGTGCGGTTCTGCGCTCTTCCTCACAGTAACTGAGATCTTCCTCGTCTCCTCTTCTGTCTTCAGTGTGTGAAATGAGGAACAGTCACTCTTCACTCCAAACTCTTGGGAAACTGGGCGAGTTTTCAGATTTACAGATCTGCTGCAGCTCATTGGAAAGTGTTTTCAGAGGAATCCGGGCAGAGTTACAGTTTCTAGGCTATGAAGGACCAACTGGGTGAACCGGTCTGCTACAGCGCCACCCTGAGGCAGAGCAGTGCTGCAGCTCTAGTTAGTTAAGAACACCAGAGACAGAAGCTGATTGTGGAAGAAGCAGATCAACAATGAGCTTCACTGAATCTGTATCTGGGTGTCTGTTTTTTCCCCAAACAGACAGCATAACATCAGAATCAGGGACCCCCAGAATTTTTATTTTGAGACATTTAGGTTGTCCTAGATGCTAATAAAGGGGTCCTGGACCCCCCAGGACCGCCTGTTTTTCTCACCTTGTGTCTCTATAATGCTCTTCAGCCAAGCAGTCATCTGAGATGAGTTTGATTCTGTTTGGTTTAAAAACTGAAGTGATTTTACAGAAAATCAGGAGCCAAACTGATTCCTCCACTGAGAGCCGTGTTCAGTCCAGACTGTAATTCCACTGTCCACTGTCTGACCTTTACCTGTGGACCGTTATCTGATGAGTTCCACTGTGACCTGTGCTGTGAGGTTCGGGGATGACACTCTAATTTCGTGAGAAAAACAGGGAACGTTAATCCTGATTACTCATTTTTACTCATTTCTCTAGTCTGAGAGAAGATACTGAGGATATTATCCAGACTGCTGGCTCTGACAGGGTCCTGCTGTGAAGTGGTGGTCAGTAAAGAGCACGGTGCTCTGTGAGATCGGCTTGTAGGACCTTTTCACGTTTTTATTTCAATAAGTTGGTTCAGGTCCTGAGCTGCTTTACTGTTCCTCAACATGTAGAACTCAATAACATCATAATTTCTCAATAATGGAATAACAGCTGAAAATGCTATGTTTTCACTTTCAGCTATGTCAACAAAGTAATGATTTCCAATAATGTAATAATTTGCTTGACAATAATATACAACGTCTTCACTGATAATAGATTTTCAGACTGACCATATGGCCCAATAGTGTAATAATGCATTACATATGGTAACTGTAGTTCCCAGTAATGTAATAATGTTATGCATTATCAGTAAAAGTATCATTGTATTACCAGTTAAGACACTGTATTGCATTATAGGCCAAGTTATTACATTATTTGTTTGACGTAGAGTCAGGAGAGCAAACGCAGTGATGTAGGCCCAGTCTGTGTTCGACCAGTGGTCTGTCACACACTCGTCTGCAAGTCCTTCCTCAGTCTTCAACCCTGCTTTTAACAATGTCCCCAAAGAACGTAAACAGTGCACGACTACTGCAGGTTTTTAAAATGCGTGAATGAAACTTAGAACTATTAATCCCACTCTAAAACAAGCTCTTGTCTCCAATATTCAAATTATTTTATTTAATCATAAAATAATAATTCAGTTGTGCACAGTGTGTGTGCGTTAAAGCTGGATCAGTGTTGGGTTCATACCACACGCTTTGCATTTCAGAAGGACCTCCCACACACACACACACACACACACACACACTACACACACACACACACACACACACACACACTGTTAAACAGTCAACTGATGTTGCTGTTGCTGTTGTTGTTGTTTATGTTGTCATTGTCAGGTTGAGATGTGTTTATGTGTCAGACTGTGTTCCTGTGTTGGGCTTGGGGTGTCAGTGTGGGGTTGTGTGTCTCCATAGAGAGAAATCTCATGGCTAGAACTGCCCTTCGCAGCTACTCTGGCTGTTATTAAGCAGCGCTGGGCTGGTGGTCTTCCCCTGCTGCCTGTTCAATGAAAGAGCTCTCACTTTCTTTACAATGATCCATCACACTCTTCTGAGAGGGCCGCCATCTAGTGTTTACGCTGCAGAGTTACATATTTTAACCTCTGCTCGACTGTCAGAGCTCCCAGAGGGAGAACATTCGTTTATCTAGAACTTTCTCTTCTTTAGACCCTCATCTGTGTTATCTGGGTCTTTACCTGCCGCTACATCCTCATAGTTATGATTAAACAGTCTCTGCTGTTACGGTTCGGCTCATGCAGGTCCGTTTAGCGCATTCCGACAGAATCAGGGATTTGGAAGTCATTTGATTTCATCCATTTTAATCCAATTTAACCCTGTTAACCTGCCTAAAGCCCATAAAGTATGAAGACTGTCATGTGATAGAGTTAAAAATCGACATCAAATTCAGGGACCTGTAACCCTCACCAAGCATCTGACTGCATTCAGCCATGCTGCACTCCTACTTACTCTTTTACTTTAAATATAAAAGAGTGTAACATACAGTGCTGAACCTCCAGAGCAGCGCAGGAGCTGAACTCATATAACATCTAAAAAAAGAAAAAAGGAAAAGTTTTAAATAAATTAATTAATTAGTTAAAACTCATCTTTAAAATTCTACTTTAGCTAACTTTATCCTTTTTTCTATTTTTCTTCTCTTTTTCTTTTTTTTCTACTTAATCTCACTTCCAATTTGATTTTATATTATTGTATTCCTTTAGTCTATTATTATTACGATAACACTATTTTAAGGTCTGTGTTTGAAAGTGTGATAATAAACTGTATGACACTTTAAAGATGGACTATTTAAGAGCATCAGATCAGCTGAAGAATTTGTCAGCTTTTGACGATGTTAGTCAAACAGATCATATCATTCATATTCATTTCCTATCAGTTCATATCATTTGTGTAGTAGAAAAGGCCTAAAGCCACCTGTACGATCTGTGTGACGTTAAGGAGGAGCTTATGAATGAGTGAAATGAGTGAAAATGATGAAACACATTGTAAATGAATTTGCAAGACTTCATCTAAAGTGGGACTAAAGTGTCCGCAATTTACCAAATGTAAACAATTACTATCACATTTCATCATTTTGAATTCAGGTAGTTATTATCTGTTCACATTCCTTGATTACAAGGAAAGATTATATATATATATATATATATATTATACAACTCATTATTCGTTTTGATTATTATTATTAATGAACTAAAATTAGGACCAAAAAACTATAAAGTACAGAATAAAAGCATTAATGTTTAAAATAAACTGTATTTAAGTATTTAAGTACTGAGTAAATGTAATCAGATCCTCTTTATCAGTTCACTCTGATTTCACCTCATCACTCCAATGTGCAGGTGATCGACATTAAAGAGAAGTTGAAGCTGTCCAAAAACTTTTGGTCCTCGCTGCCAGAAGGAATCTGTCAGGAGGAGCACGTAGCTGTGGAGACGGAGGAGGAAGACTGCTGGAACGGACAGGAAGTGGGAAGGTAAACACACCACGGCAACCCCAGGGGCCCACGCACTTCCTACTGCGGCAACAAAACCATCTTCCTTAATACTTCTTACTGACCCTTTCGCTAATCTGAAGGCACCTGCTGCCTGTCTGTGTGTTTGTTCCTGCACTGTTAACTTCAACACTGTCACAGCGGATTTCCCTTTCATCTCTGTTCTGCCTTTACTGCTCCATTCAAACCCACTGATGACTAAAAACACTGGCGGTTTTAGCACAGTTGCCGTAGTAGTCCAGTGTAAATCAGTGCAGACGTTCTCTGATGTTGTTTCAGGATTTTTGTTTAAAAATGAATGAAGGAACGATGAAAGCCGGCGCTGCTGCACAGATGTAGTTTTGCTCCAAATGTTTCTGACAGTCTATACTGACAAAAGCCATCTGTTCAGACATCTGAAAAATCAGAGTTTTTGAAAATGTGAGCAGATGATATTCAACTTCTCCCAACATGATTAACTGTAGCTCTCACACTTTTTCAAATGTAAACCGCTTTTTTCTTTTAAGCACCATAGAAAATACATAAATAAATAAATAAATAAATAAACAGGCATGAAGTTTAGAATTCATCAGAGTTTAGTTGTTCTCATCTTCAGCAATGACACACCATCCTGTTCTGTAGAGATCAGCTGTCCTGTACAGATTAACTGTCATATACAAACTGTTGTGTACATTAGAATAGTCCTTTAGAGATCTACTGTCCTGTACAGATTAACTGTCTCATAGAGATTAACCATCCTGCACAGATTAACTGTCCTGAACAGATTAACTGTCCTGAACAGATTAACTGTCATTTAGAGATTAATTGTTGAGTACAGACTGTCTTGCATAGATTAACTGTTTCATAGAGATCAGCTATCTTGTAGAGATTATCTGTCCTGTAGAAATGATCTGTACAGATTAATGGCCCTGTACAGATTAACTATCTGATAGAGATCACCTGTCTTGTACAGGTCAACTGTCCTGTAAGGATATCAGTACAAGGCAGAACTGCACTATGGAACTGAATGGACTGAACGTGATTAGTTGATTAGCTTCCTGTAACTCAGACAAGCTCTTTGTGATGTCTTTCCCCTCAGGTACGTCCCTGAGGTTCTGAAGGACGGACTCACTCAGCAGGTCAATAATCCAGAAGTTTTGGTGGACATCACCAGGCCAGATTCCCTCATTAGACAGCAGGTGATGGCTCTCAGAGTGATGACCAACAAGCTGAAGAACGCCTACAATGGCAACGACATCTACTTCCAGGACTCAAGTAAGGCATCTCTATTCAAGGGATATTGTGGTTTTTAATGCATACAGTTTGTTATTCAACAACTGATTTAAATAATGAATTCAGAAAACTCTGAAACAAGCTGTTGATTTGGGAGCTGAAGTGCATCACGCAGTTCACAGTCGGTATCACACAGTAATCATGACATGCTGCGACACACGAGATGAGACTGAAATGCATCTCCATCTGTGTTTTATCGCAGTGCTGAGTATGCTGGCCATTTTCCTCTTAGTGTCCAAATCGTAAAGTGGAATTCCAGAGTGATTTCAAGGCAATACGATCTCTCACAGTGCACTCATCATTTCTAATGATCACTGTAGATCACTACATCTGCTGAATGAGGAGCATTATCTAATGTTAATTACCGCTTAGTCACTGAAAACAGAACTTGTCAGACTCTTTCAACGCTTTTGAAAAAGAGCAACTTTGTGCAGTTAAGAACAAAGACGCTACTGCTCAAAATACACCAGCAACACTGAGCTCTAACTATAGGAAACTGTGGCCAGTCAAGTTTTGTACTGTGGCCTTGGTGTAGAAGAAGACATGGAAAATGTAGTCCATGTGGACGAAAGCTCTTTTATTTTTACTTTTATTTATTAACTCAGCACAAAATCAGTGGACACTTCAACTGTAAACCCACCATCCTCGGTCACAGTTACTGTAAACAACACAACTACTCTAATAACATCAATAACAACAATAACAATAGCAGCAGTACCTTTTTAAACTGGGAGTGTGTCACCTCCCGAGAGCCGCTTTGCATGGCCACACCCTCTTAACGCCACAGTGCTTTTTCCCCACTGCTCGTCTCCTGAACTTTTCAAAACAACATGCTCATATCTACAGTTTCAAATAAGAAGAATAAGCAGTTCAGCCTCACTCAGTCCTTTTTTGTTTTCTTTTGCGGCCTGTGAAGACTGACGCAGGCTGATGATGAGAAATGAATTAAGTTATTGATTGATGTGTTTTAACCGCAGTTTAGTAAAGTAAATAGTTCACCCCTATAGAGCATGATACTAATTAGGGAGAACAGATCCATTTCGGTTATAGTCTCATGGGACCAGAGGTGATCTCCTAACGAGAACATCTGGGGACAACCATGAAAAATTTTGGTTAAAATTCATGTTGTCATTAGCAGTGCTTTTTTGCGTTTTTTCTGGACAGCAACAGGACACAAGCACCTGCTGCTTAATGCAAGGTCAGTGGACACACTTGCCTGCCTAGCAGGCTGAGATGCTAAAGGCTAAATCAGGGCTAAAGGCTATGTTTACCCCAAGAGACCTGGACATGCCTTTACTTAAACTGTGAGTGACAATAGAGCAGGAGATGAGCGATTACTGAAAGAGGCCTGACTCAGCCACTCAGGTGAGGGGCTCCCTTTAGCATGTTTCCTGCTGCGAGTATGTTGTTAACTGGCTTATTTATGGGATACTAGTAATATTAATACTTTAGGAAGAATTCCAACTGGTCTATCACCCACTATCACTGCTTTTCCATGAAATACTGGCGTTACAAATTTTGCCATGAGCATTTTTACTGCCATCTACTGGCAATTAGAAATTGCTTAGTGGTATCATTCATAGGCATCGTTATCCCCATCGCCAATAACGATACTGTGTTTAAGTGCCGGTATCGGTGCAACACTACTCAATAGCATTGTGCTGTATGGGAGAACTGCGTAGTTCACTAATCAACTTTAAAACATGGATCAGTAAATGAATTAGGGCACTGTATCATCATTATCCTGTACCAGAGTTCACCAGCAGCATTTACAAACTTTAACGGGTAGTCTGGGGGTTCGCTATTGGGGTTAGTACCTGTACACAGGTGGACCAAGAATGGAAGTATTTCATGTGTTTACATTATTTTCCTGTATATCTCAATGGGCTCTCTCTGTTCTCAGGTGACGAGAGCAGCGGTTCTGGTAGCGGTAGTGGCTGTATGGAGTCCTGCGTTACAGAACCTGATGGCTCCATCACAGAAGGTCCCGTATTAAAAGCAGATCGAAGTGCTGAGCACTCGTCCGTCGCTCTGCTCCACCAGGCCTCGGTGTTTTCTCTGATCCTGCCCTCCCTCACACTGCTCCACCACTGCAGATAGGACACGCTGAGGGTGGACCCAGGCTTCTTCAGCCCACATCCAGGATCTGTCCTCTCTCCTGGAAGGACGTTGGTGATGCTGAGGACTTCTTCTTTACGTCCCAAAGATCACTTTGGTTCAGCCCAGCGCTGACCTTTCCAAACTGTCCACTTTAACGAGCGGTGGACTTCATTAGTGAGATGTATTCACAGAGAGTTTGTACTTTGTACAACCGTCTGTCCTCAGTACATCCCACTCAAGCAGCTCTGATGTACGATAAAATAAGATTTCTTTTTTTCAGCTCCCTCTTGTGGTAATTTCTCAAGCCCTGTTCTGGGTCTCTGATAAGTTTCTGACATCATCACTCAGTGCTGTTTCAAGCTTGGGGGCGGATAAACCTCAACGCTGTGATGTTGTGATGTTAAAACATGATTAAGTTGGTAATCACAAAAAATTGTCTTAATTTGTTGCATTTAATGAAGACTTTGTTTTTATCAATTGCACTAAAAGCCATACATGTATGCGCACAATATGGCCAAAAGTATGTGGACACCTGAATATCACATCCCTATGTGCTCACTGAAGATCTCATTCCGAACCCCAGGGTATTAATAGGGGGTCCTGCTCTCCATTTGCTGCAGTAACAGCCTCAACACTTATCGGAAGGCTTCACACTAGATGCTGGAACACCGCTGCAGGGATTCTCCTCTATTTGTCTGCAAAAGCATTACTGAGGTCAGGTACTGAGGTCAGGCTATAAGGTCTGGCTCTCAGTCAGCATTCCACTTCATCCCAAAGGTGTTGGATGTGTTGAGGTCAGGGTTCTTCCACACCAAACTCACTATTTGTTTAAGGAGCTCACTTTTTTCCAGAGGGGTATCCTGCTGAGACAGACAAGGTCATCTGCAGACACAGTTCTCTCCTTCACTTCAACTAACTAGCTAAAATCATGACCGTTATCCCCCCTGCACCAAACTTTACAGTCAGCACTCCATATGCAGGGAAGTAGCGTTCTCCTGCATCCGCCAGTCCTGCCAGTCTAGAGAACGTAGTTCCACTGCTCCAGAGCACAGAGATGAATTGCACCACTCCAGAATACAACAGGTGATTGTGATGTTGTTCCAAGATGTTTCCACTTCACAACCACAGCTCTTCCTGCTGCACCTCTAGCAAGGCAGACATTTGTCAAACTCATTTGTTGTAAGGTGGTGTTCTCTGACAGTACCATGATGAAGTCATTGAGCTTTTCTGTAGAAGCCGTGTACTTCACTGTACTGGCAGTGTCTGCAGAGACTGCAGGACTGCATGATTTTATATACCTGTTAGCAGTGAGTGAGGCTAAACCACTAATTAGAAAAGTGTCCACATACATTTGGCCATGTAGTGTAATTGTAAGTGTTTTTATATGATGAAATTGTTGATTTCATTGGAACATAATTGAAGTTATTGTCATGGACATAAAAACCCTGCTGAAAAAGGACCATAGGAAACCTAATTGTTTTGCTTTCTAATGGGAGTTGGGTTAATGGTTTCCGATAGAGGCCACCAGTTTCCTGTAGAACACCTTTAGATCCCAAAACAAATTACAAAACACATCAGGAACCAACAGAAAAGCTTAATGGTTTCTATGGGTTTCTATGAGAAGTGAGTTTTCCATTTAAGACACTTAATTCTACTGATAATATTTCCAGCAGTGGGACTGAACTACAATCCACTGTTGCTGTCTTTTAAAAGGCTAGTCAGTCCGAATGACTGTGGGATGATCTGGTCACTCTTCCTTCTGTCCAGTCAGTCTGAATGTGTGATCTGCTCCATCATAATCATCCATATAGTTTTCTGAACTTGGACCTTGATTCACTCTGATAAGACAGGGTTGCACAAGTGCTTATTCTTCTCTCTCAGCTGATATTTGCTGGAATGAGTCCCGCATTTAGGGGCAAAAGCACATGACTGACTGCTGCTGTACCTTTCATTGAAAAGCCAGTGAATTTAGCTTTGCCTCAGCTAGCATTAGCAGCGTGATGGTAAGTGTACTGGTAGCACCTTCTCTCCTATATTCATCCTAAAGCAGCGTCCACTCAGCAGGAACTGAAACCTACACACTCCTGTTGTCATGAGGAAATGATTGATTTTAGTGAGACTTATTTGAAGTGTTTATTTTCCCTTTAAGACACTGTACTCGGTTTATAATGATCTGTCCAAACTCTCAACAACACTTTTATACATTATAGCACGAAGTAAGCTAGCACATCCATTACTGCACACTTTTTTTGAAGTTTTGCTTTTATTGTTTGTTACAGTTCAATATGTTTTTGAAGAGAGGAATAAATCTTATATTCCAGCTCTGAAACATGATCGCTGTCTCAAATGTATCACATGGAGGTCCAGAAGCTGGGCTGAAATTATTTTGTCTGCAAATCAAAAGATTAAAAATTCTAAATTGTACGTGTGGGAATCATTTCACAGAGTCACTGCTCAACATGATTCAGCACAACAAATTCAGCACAGCTGATTCAATATAACTGATTCAACACAAGTGATACAACATCACTTTTTCAACATGACTGATTCAGCACCACTGATTCAACATGACTTATTCAACACAATCAATTCAGCATAACCAATTCAGTACGATTGATTTGGCGTGACTGATTCAACATCACTGATTCAGCTTGACTCATTGGACATGACTGATTCAACATGACCGATTCAGTATGCATATTTGTGACTCAATCATCTTTTTGTCTTAACTGGTCTGGACATTTTGAAAATTCATGTTTATGAATTAATCAGATTTCAAAATTTTCAAAATGTTGGTGAATTAGATGTCCAAACGTTTATAGACACTAATGTTTCTTCTGAAATGTATTAGTAGGAAATTTGTCCTCCTTTGTCACAGTGACAACCTCTAGGAAGCCTTCTGGGAAGGCTTTACACTAGATGTTGGAACATTGCTGTGAGGATTTGATTGAGCATTAGTGAGGTCAGGTACTGATACTGGATGGTCAGTTCAGGATCACTCCAACTCAAAGGTACTGGATGGAGCTCCATCCCTCCAGAGAACACAGTGTGGCGAGTAGAAACACAAACATGTAGAGACTCAGCAGGACTGGGATCGGGAAGCTCTGTCTTAACAATACCAATAATAAAGCACGTAGGTCATTTTGATTTGTTTATTAATAGAAATGCTGTAATTACATCAGAGATTACGGTAAAATACTGATTGACTAAATAAATAATTCAGAAAAGATGTAGAACAGTAAACTGGTTTGGTTCCCAGTTTGCAGTGTGTTAGGAGGGGCTGTCAGGAGGGCTTATCTTTGATCAAAATACAAATTTGGAATATTAAACTGAACTGAGCTTCACATTAAGTTCAACTTTATTGAACTGTATTTACACACTTACAGTTTAATGTATGCAGCAGGACTGAACCACTGAGCTGAGATCATTTAAATACTTTCTGGAACCACAGAGAGGAGCTTAAAGCTGCTGTGTGAAACTGATTAGATACTGGTAAACTGTCCCAATAACAGATTCCCTGAGAGCAGACCGGCGAACGCTGGGTGTTTATATTTTCATTTTTTCTGCCTCTTTCTTGTCAGTGAAATTGTTTGTCAGTGAAATTGTTTGCAAGGTAAGACTGTAACTGCTTTTTGAAATTGGTCAGAATCTCAGAATGACTGTCAATATCAGACAATACAATTATTAACTAACCAATAACTCTTCATTTCACTTCGAAAGCCAGTTATCTAAAAAACAGTCACTGTATTTCAATCCAATCCTACAAATCTTCATCATGTTCCATTAACAGGATTATAAATTATACATCATTAAATATCATTCATGGAAAAATGCTTGTTTAAAAAAACTCATATTTCATTGGTACCTATTATTATTTTCATTATTATTTTTGTTTTTCTCGTTGTTGCAATTGTTATCATTAATATTATGCATTCAGTTAAAATCAGAAGCCTGTCATAAATCACTCAAATCAAACCTCTTAAATCTACTCCTACATCTCACTGACTTTATTCTGCTTCTGATCTGCAGAACCGCAGGTTCCGATGTCACTGCAGCTTCGTTACGCCTCGGTGTACTTGGTGCTGATGAACTCGGCTTTAATGAGCGGCTCGAACTCCCTCCTGCGTCTCTGCTGAAGGTACAGAACCAGGAGCAGCAGCAGCAGCAGGAGGCCGAGGAAAATCCCACCTAGCGTACCACCCAGGATGAACATGGTGGAACCTGGATCTGTGTCTGAGAGAGGAACAGAGAAGAGCATTAAGGAACATGGAAGTATACAGAGGACCACAAAGGATGACAAAGAAACCCAGAAGGACATAGAAAAAAAGAGAAACCTTGAGAGACACAGAGGAACATTGAGGAACATAAAGAAATATAGATGACCACAAAGAATGGGAGAGGAGCCCAGAGGGACACAGAGGAACATTGAGGAACATAGAGGAACATGTTTAATCAATGTGGAACATGGACAAACCCAGAGGGACATAGAGGAACATGGTGAATCAAATCAGAACATAGAGGAACCATCTTGTGCATCAGTCTGGACCAGAACATCTTCAGAAAACTCAGAGGTTGCTGCGCTGCTGGTAGATGCATTTGGGAGGAATTTTCAAAATAACCCCACCTCCCTCTTCTGATATTACGGTTTCGTTTAAACCGTTAAGAATAGCCGATTCCCCCAGATCAGATCGGACCATGCTTTCAACATACGGCTGTAGTATGACGGGACACTGTATGACTGCAAAACTCTAAGAACCCAGGCTGGAGTTCTGGGGGGTTTCGTCTTTACTCCAGAAGACTGGACCCCCTCTGTAGGGAGGGAAACTTATGGGATGTCAGATTAGAAGTAGGAGGAGCTTCAAGTGTGGTTCTCCTTTTTGTTACTTCATAACTGCGTTCAGTCCCACAGAAATCTTCATTAGACACCTCTTATCTTTACTGGCAATTGTCGAAACTGCTGTCAACTAAATCACCTGGTTCTTCAGCAAGTTAAACCTGCACTGGGTAGAAGAAACACTTTGTCAAAGCCAAAGCACAACTGGGCGTCATCAAACCATAAAGAAGCGTATCTAGAGAATGATGGAGCTTTTCATGCGTGGGAAAATAAATCAAGACAAACCTTCTAAGTCGATGGCGTAGGAGTATCCGAGCTGGCTGGAGGAGACGTAGATCTCCTCGTTGGTCACAGGAGGAAAGAAAGGCACCATGTTGTAGTGCCGGTTATGTCCGATAGGGGCCATTTCGTCAGGGAAGCTTCCGTTTCCATTAAAACGACGCAGCCACTCCTCAAATATGGCGTCTGTGAAAGCATGAAGAACCTACAGAGCAGAAAAGCAGAGAAGAAACCTGAAGTTCTCTCGCTGACGCTGGATAAGATCAAACCTCTAATTATGAGAGTTTATATGTTTTCATCTTTACCAGAAAGATGGGGTCGTTAGCAGCTGAGTGGGACTGCCCACTCGTCCCGTTGAGGAAGGCGTGGACCAGGTTGTGGAGGTTGGTCATTGTGTTGTCTATCTCACCGTCTGGTTTATCAAAGCCCTCTAACGCGTTCCTTTAAAAGAGCACAAAGACGTCAGGACTGGGTCAGGCCCTGGTTTAATTCTCTGTACAGCTGCTGCTCCTGAGGAATTCAGTGCTCCAGATGATCGACCTTCCTGACGAAGTCACCTTTCACCCCAGTCTACACACCTGATCCAACTAATTAGGTGCACTAATGATCAGGAGCCGTATTACAGAAACTTCTTTGTAAGGGCACAACCTGCGCCGCCGGCCGCCAGCAGAGGGCAATGGCGGCAAGGTGCCATAACTTCAGGGAACTCCAATTCCCAGAAGCCCTCGGGCTGATTAGGAGCAACATGGCACACCTGTGGACTCTTACTTAAGGCTGTGGCAAACAGCAGCCCTTTGTCAGACCTCTGTAGAGGGGTGACCGGTACGGTACTTAGCCCAGGTGGGTATTTAAACGAAATGAAAGAAAAGAAAAGAGGTCTGGAAAAAACAAAAAAGAGGAATCGCCCCAAAACTACTTAAAAACCAAAAGAAGGCTTGAGCTACAAACGGCTCCAAGCCAAACAAAAGTGTTCGCTCCATTAAGAACCAACAGCTGAAACATTAAGTCGACCTTCCTCTCAGAATCACAGAGGAAGTGTTTTTGTTTTCTGATTATCTTTTATTTCATTTTTCTAGTTCAGCCTTTGTTTGAGCTGCTTTAAGCATCCCTGGTGGTGCAGCAGTAACTCCACCGCTAATCAGTACATCAGCGGTTCGAGTCTGGCTCTGGGTCACCTCAACTCTATTGTGCACAATCACCAAATTCACACTCCATTAGCTCAAGCTCATTTAAGACCTTTTCTCACGGGCTTTCCTCTCTGCATTTGGGTCCACCTCCCTGCCATCCCGTAACATTCTTAACTCTGAAATCTCATCTGTTTGGTCTCCATGACGACTTCAGTACTGAATTTAGTTCAGTATCTATTCCAGAATAACAGTTCCTGACTTCATAATCTCATCATGAACTCCAGATAAGAAAACAGCATCACACAAACATCCTAACTAGACTAAACCTCCTAAATCCTGTCCTAACTTTAGGATGAACCCCAACAGGGTCCTCACTTCTGTTTAAGGTCCGTTTCTATGGTTTTTAGGCAGCTGAGTCAGCAGCATAGTTCACTACCAGCATAATGAGCTCCATTTATTTCTACTGTAAAACGCTGCTTTCACTGTGAGATGATTTTCTTTTCTAACTCTGCGTTTTAAAGATCTCAGACGCTGCAGACTCGATCTCCACCGCCCCTCTGATCACCTTCGTGTGTTAATGTTGATGATGAAATATTACAGTGATGGTGGTGAATAATGAGGAGGCGGAGCTGAACGTGTGTCTGTTCATTAGGAGGAGTAACGTTAGCGCGCTCGGCTAAAGCGTTTGGGAAATGGAGACTGAAACTGGGGAGCAGCGACGCTCTGATGAACAGATAGTTCAACACAATTCCTAGCTGTGGCCTCCCATCAAAATTCAGAGCGACTGGTCAGCGTTTTAAAGAGATCTGAGCCAAAGAGTATTTTCAGGCCATATAAGTCATTTTTTCAGTCACTGAGCTGTTTGTGTGAATCAAAAAGAAATCCAGCCTGATGTCACTTTAGTCTCCATCTTGTTTCTACAGTGCAGCACCGTTTAAAGCAGATGACAAGCTCACAGCAAGTGCAGCTGGGCTTCAGTCCAGCTTCTGCACTGTGAGGTTAGTTCTTACGCAGCGTTACAGCTCAGACACCTTCAGTACACAAGACTAATAAAGGACATTCAGTCTTTTTGTTCCAGTTTATACAGATTTTAAGATGACAAAGAGAAACTAAAACTGGGGTTTTCTGCTTTATTAGTGTCTTTCAGTGTTTTGGTTCTAAATAAGTTTATTAATTAAGGCCCA